TTCGAACCTGGTGCTCATTTTTTATATACATGATCATAAGTTATTTTAATTTTTTAGTTTGAGTGTCATCTCGCTTTCGGGCTACAGCCATCATTTTTATAAAGAAAGTAACAATGTTCAAGGCGAAAAAACAGGTTTTCTTATTTTAAGAATGCCGTGTTCTGGGACATGGCACCGTGTGGGTCTTGTGTGAACCGACGTTCCTCTGCACGGCGCCACATCCTGGAAGACAGCATTCTTCATTGTCACCGCCGTGAAAACCTGAAACTTTATACAGGTTTCCTTTGTTGCTCGAAATACAGATTCATTACTGATACAGAGTTAAGCATATAATATTGCACATAACGTCATAAAGTCTAAACTAAGTCTTCTACGTTTTGTTAAATATAGTCTATATGTAAAAATACCGTATTTACGCATGTATAGGCCGCACATTTTTTGCCAAAAATTCAAGAGGAAAACTGGGCTGCGGCTTATATTCTAAATATTCGAAAACACACACATTTTTTTCGTCAACGTCGAATTTTCTCCCTGCTGCTCGATTTCCGTGTTCTTGTGCGTAACGCTCCACTTGAATTTTAAATTTAGACGTATAACCTGCTCTTACTCGACCCATGTTTCACTCAGAACTAACCAGGCAAGTCAAGTAAAGGCGAAAAGGTTATAACTCTCCCCCGCAATGCCTTTGTTCCGAGCGGTACCGTTATTTTCGCTAGTTGCGAACTTAGGAATGTTAAACGTTGCCAAATTTCGGAATAATTTCTACTCCTGAAATAATATTCCAAGAAAATTATTTTTTCTATAATTTCTGTCTGAAAATTGTGCTGCGGCCTATACATGCGTAAATACGGTACATAAAATAAACATTGGATATAATAGTGTGGCCTGTATATTTCGTTATAGGTCAATTTCTTGCAGGGCGAGCCGTTTTTGAGAAAGATACAATTAGACTGTAAAGTAGATATGAGGCCCAGAACAACCCGGTCTGTACTAAAATTAATTAGCTATTTAAGTTATACCCCAACATCACATTGCAATGGCTTCTCTAATAAACTTTATACCTTAATTCATTACCTTGTACGTTATGTACTAAATTTTTTTCAGCTATACTTCCAAATTTGATATCGTTCATCCTGGTCCGTCACACTAGCAGTGGTATTAAGGATTACCATCACCAGTGTACTGATAAGTGATTAAAAAGGAGAAGGAACATTTATGAATCTCACCAGATGGAGTTGATGTCCTTTTATACTATACTTCCAAAGCTTGTAGGTTAATATTAGGAATTGAGTGGCCCTGTTTACTGTTTTGTAAAAGTAACGATGTTTCAGTGACTTAGAGAATTCATTTGGTTGTCGCTACGAGACTTCGCCAAAACCAGCGCCACTAGGCTACTCACTATTTTCCGATACAGTCCAGTGTGGCATGCCTGTATGAGGTATTCATTCTTACAGCATCGTTAAATAAACCACAAATTAATAAGAAAATAATAGAAAATGCAGAATTCTGCAGCTAAAATGAATTCACTATAAATTTCATGCATATTAAGAAACGGTTCCTGCTTACCGCTATCACCACATTTAATCAGGACTATTCGATGAAGTTGTTATAATAATTATTAAATATTCCTGTCAGTAAACATCAAGCAGAATAAACGGATGTTTCCAAAGTGTATTTTCGTATGTATTCAGATGTGTTACGATTGTATATTTATGCAGAAAATAAATATAATTGTAGAATATTATTGTTACTATTTCACAATACAGTTTGAACTAAGCAGCATAAATTTTCATAAGAGCATATTAATTTATTTTCTTTTATAAGACTACATGTATGCAGCCTACTCATATGTCTCTTAATACAAAACACATATTAACTTACTAGCCTAAATTCCGTTGAAATTTCAACCGACAATTGTTAAAAACAAATTTCGTCAAAAACTTCAATAATATGAAAGTTTCTGAACAATCGAATGCATGTATACAGGGATACCAAACTTGTCACAATAACACTATTCACGAAGCCTTGTTATTATCTAGAGGATTTTTTTTCTGCTGTGATTGTCTACATAGGAGGCTAATTTCCCTTTCCTTCTCAACTGGTAAGGCAACGCCATAATCGGCACTGTCTAGTTCACCAATAAGCGGTAGAAATACAATTCTTTCACCCAGAACTTGTCCCACTACAGACCCAACCGTCAGAGGGTGAGCGATTTTGCTCTCAGATACGAGATAACATTGACAAATGCGTAAATGTCACTAGTTACTGTTATTTTCACATTACCATCATGGGCTCAGTTTCGTTCCCATGCACAATATGTAATACAGAGAATACTGGGTTTGTAGACTTTATCCATCGTTCGGAATTCTAGGTAATAGAGGACACGACGTCTCGGAAACTACATCTGTTTCCGTCTTCAGGTGAGAAAAGAAGACACCTACTCAGATGAGCCGCTNGGAGCTCTCACTGGACCAGTGACTGAGATTAGCCTTTCTAAGCGGCTCATCTGAGTAGGTGTCTTAATTTCTCACATGAAGACGGAAAAAAATCTAGTTTCCGAAGCGTCGTGTCCGGTATTACCTAGAGTGCCCTCTAATACCTAGAATTACGGACGAGGGAAAAAGTCCAAAAACCCAGTAATTCTGTGTCATCCGCCACCGTCAGAACCCTTTAGAATCTACTATGTGTAATGTTCCCGTGTATTAATACACAGCCACGCTTTTTTCTGTGGGATTCAGAATGCAACAGATTGGCTGAGAGTTCCAAAAAACGAGTCCCACCTCTAGATACAGCGTCGCAAGAAAGACTAGTATTTAATGAATATTAAAATATGTTAAATTTAGTGTATATATTTTAATATGTTAGAAACGTATAGGAAAAAAATGGTGCTTCTCTCGAATTGCATAGTAACTTGGAGGAGTGTCATTGTAAAAACCCGTAAGTACACAAAATATTGCCAAATTTGACTAGCCCCCTCTCAAAATCTCAAATTTGCTTTCTACAACACCCTACTAACGCTCATATGATTAAATGTGTCGAGCCACGGGGGACCGAATTCAATCCCAGGACAGTAGATGGGATTTATGGTGAACAGAAAGACCTGTAATTTATCAATCACATAATTTAAGCATGTTTTGTGATTATGCACTTAGTAGGCTATGTACGCAAATTTGCCCTTACACCTACACCTGTGTCGTATTGTGCTTCAGTGAAAATGTAGAGTCATTTATAGTAAATAAACATAATTTTGGTTTCCTTCTGCGTAGCCACAGAAAGAGCACATCTAGAAGGAATGTATGCAGCTGCACAATAGAATGACTATATACTGGTGAATACATAATGAAAAAGGGTTTGCTTCAAAACTTGTTACAGTAGGAAGAGTCACGGGTTTCTATCCAACCCCTTGAGGTGTGATTGATCCACGACATAATTTTCAGTGAAAGTGTCAAGCGATTTGCCTCCTTCCACAAGAGCACGAGTTCAAGTGTAGACAAACTATGAAAACAAGACAATAAGGAACACTCCTCACTAGACAAGCTCGATTAAGGAACAAACATAAAGAGAACTTTCGAATTAATTTATGTTACAGCATTTTATGATATTAATTATAGTGTTTCCTCAACTAAAAGGAAATATATATTCCTTCCAGCCGCATTATGGCCCTGGGGTCGACTCAGCCTCTAACAGAAATGAGTACCAGGAATTAATTAAATAATTTACCTGGGGAGTAAAGCGCGGCCGGCGCATAAGGCTGACAACCTTACCGCCATCTGTGAGCCGATTGTCTAGATAATGTGGGACCCTCAACGTCTCACAACCCTATCGGCCTTCACGGCCTGCTACAAGGATAGCTTTACTTTTTTTTTATAAGCAGGAATACCTGTAATTACGCTAACTCCTTCATCGAATCTATAGCATATTCGTAGCCCAAAATAATTTTCAAAATTATAAATTGGTACCTGTATGTGAGGTAAGAAATATGTTCCACTTCAGTTCAGCCTATTCGAATATACATGTAAGGAAATATACAATGGGTCTGTTCTATACTACATATAAGATCCGTCTGCAAAGTCGGCCTATGTTTAGGTAGATCGCTCTGTTTATGCAATTTATGGTGATTTGCGCTTCAGGTAAGCGTACAGGTCCTACGTGCGTATTACTGCTACAATGACATGTTTACGAAATTTACGTGCATCATTGCACCAGTGGAGGGCTTTTGTGAACACAGTAATGAACGTTCTGGTTCCATAAAATGCTGGGGAGTTCTTGAGTAGCTGCACAACTTGCGGCTTCTCAAGAAGGGCTCAGCTCCAGTGATGTGCGTTATTGCACACCTTCGATATTTTCTGTGAAATTCAGATATTCAAATACAGATTTCAGCTTCATGAATTTACTACGTTCTATTGAAATATTACAGCTTCAGGTAGCGACGCTGGTAGCAATCGAAAGAAATGATCAGCCAGCAGAACCATCTCACTTCTAAAGCTTCGTAATTATATTAGTATTCTTCTTCAGAGAGGTCGAAAATTCTTCTAGAGTTCTAAAAAATAGATTAGAAAGTGAATGATAATTTTGTGTGATTATGACGCAATGACATCAGTTTGAAATTAAGTAACCAATTTTCAGAATTCATCTGTTCGTCTACTGTTGATATACTGAAAAACGCGTGTTGTCCAGAGTTATGTGCTGGCCTGCATTTTATATAGAGCACTAAGAGGTTAAGTACAAGCAGACGACAACGACTAACACGTCACAGTCCCACAGGAACTGCTAGGCAATCCATGAAGTTAAGCCTAATGTACATGCAGATAACATTCTGGAGAATAAAGGGCAATTATTTAGCTCTTCTTTCTTCTCGACATGAAAATGCCATACTGTTAACAGAGTGTATTCTGAAAATATTTTGAATTATTTTTCAAATCAGTAAGAATTAACTACATAAAACTGATATGACAGCTCTGAGTACAGACTTTTATTATAATCACATTCAATATACTCACTTTGTAAGTTCATCGTCGATGGGAACATGGGGGCCCTGTGGTGCACGTGCTCTTGGTGATGAGGTCTGGAGCCCATGACAGCACACTGGGCACCCGGGGCGCCCGGATGGTGATGTCCCACGCCGGCCATGTGTCCAGCAGTGGCGGCTCCTCCTGTCACACCGGCACCAGGATTGTAGGTCCTAGCCATGGAAGCAGCGGCGGCCGTGTACCGGTAGGCTGCCTGGGACATCTGGCTGCATGACGTGAGGTCTCCGTAAGAACAGGGCATGTTGCCCAAGCCGGTGGGGTCCATCCCTGCAGCGGCTGCGGCAGTCAGCGAGCAGCTGGAGGCGTCGAAACCGGCCTGGTTCAGGTACGAGTAGTCCATGGTCTTCCTGTTGATGGTTCGATATTAGCTTCTAGCCGCAAGACTTAGCACAATTGCTGAAGTTTCAGTAACTAACACAAACTATGTGAAGTTGTGATGTCAGTCAGTGGGTAACTTCCGAGTTCTGTTGCCTTACAACTTCACAACTGCTTCATATATGCCACGTTGTCAAACTTTCTTCCCCGGAAGCACTCAATGGTCACAGTGACGGTTGCACGCTCTTTCACTGTAAACCCTGTATTTAATTTCGTAGATTAATTTACAAGAAGTTGAACATCATATCACGGTAAATTCACATATTGACTTGAAATAGCTTAGGTTTTAAAATTGTTGCCAGTCTTCAATTTTCACTAATTTACAGTTGTCGATGTTACCTAATTCTCTAAACATATGAATCAGTGCTTGTGGCGATATGAACTGTGGTATCTTTGACAGTTTCGTGCAATTGTCAGTGGATGCTTCCTGTCATATGTAAGTACAGATAGTACATACTAAGTCTTCCACACCGCCAATGCCTTCACACAGATGATAAGAAATACAATTCTCACATTTAAAGAGTATGATGAAAAAACACTTTCACTTCACAACTGAGTAATTTACATCCAAAATCTCCTCTGGATCAATATTTGATATATTCATTTTGTGATGAATAAATCATATTATTTGGCAGCAATATTTACATAACAGTTAGATATGGAATCTCAAGGTTACTGTCACTTGTCGTTTCCCGTTCAGCATTTCCGAACACTTGTCATTCAGAAATCGTAACCTGCTTCTTGATACACTTTATCTGTCCACAAGTTTCACATGGATACACACATAGATGAGTTCCAAAATTACGTTTCGTATCACACCATATGACTGTCATCAGACACGACTCCAAGTGCGCCTATTGGCTTGAGTGTGTGGCCATTATCCACTCATCACGTGACAACATTTAATTCAAATTTCTTACCATAAAAATGTGAAATAGGACAAAATGTTCAAACGGGTCCTGAGGCAAAATAATCCAATCACGTCTTCTGACCCATAAAAGATGTCTTTCTAGTATAATAGTTAAATAATTAGTTCGAGCTCTTAAAGAGCCATTGAAAGTGCATTAGAAAGGTTCGTTCCTTGACAAGGGAAATTCAAATAGCGTTTTGCGACTTAGCAGAGATATGAGACTTGGAAAACCTGGAAAAAGAATCCTTCACAAAACGAAATCGACGCAGCGTGAAGAAATATATGTATTAGATAAGGGGGTTGAGCGATACCGCATTGTACTTATCCTTTTTCTTCCTTCCCCCTACCCTTAAACTTCTACTGAACCACAAGAAGCAATAAATTAATAATAAAGGAAACGACTAAAAAAGAAGAACTCGTCTAAGTTAATCTAAAACTGTAAACGAAATAATAATAATCCCTTTCAGAATGAAGACAAGTGCAAAGGAAGAGAAGATGCTCTTTCTTGCCTTGCTGATGTTATAGCTACTGGTCCTTCGAATATAATTGAATCAAAGCCGTGATATCAAATTATGGCGATTACGGATAATATCGGCGGTAGGGTTTCAGATGCCGCCGTCACTGCTGCTGATGTGCTTATGCTGCCGCTGTGTGGATGGCTAGCACCCTGCCCCCCGACAGCAGCGCAAGAACACGGCCGACTCGCTCACAGCTTGTGCGGAAATCAAATGATGAGCCTAATTCAATAACGCCAAGTCTGAAGTAGAACACAGAGAGAGTCTCTCCACAGTGCAGCATCCCCGATGAGGAGGTGCATCAGGAAAAAGCCAAGCGAGAGGGGGGTGGCTTGGGGGTGGTTAACGAGAGTAAGCGAGAGATGTGTAAGAGGAAAAGCAAAGAGGAACGGGTTTAGTTTTTGATGTTAGGTTAGGGGGTTGAAGGGTGTGAGAGTTTGCGAGAGGGAGGAGTGGCTAGGGAGACGGGTCGGGAAGAGGGAAGAAGGGCACATTTGGGGGGTACAAAAGGCGGAGCTTCTAGTCACAGTGGTGTGATGGAACACCTCTGCCATCTCTTTCTTTCGCTTTCACCAGAGCTACCCTCAGTCTCTCTCTGTCTCTCTCCCCCTACACAGCATCCCTGTCGCCGTGACAACCAATCCAAGCCTCTTTCTCTGGACCAGAAACACGAGAATCGTCATTGGTTCAATATGAGTGACGTCACGCCCCTGATAGATCCGCGCTACTGTTACATGACATGCGACGCTAGACCCGACGCCCGGCTGTGACGTTTCCCTTTGTGTGCATCTCAAACGTCGGTCCCGCGGTCGACAGTAAGACGACATAAAAACCTGAGCTTCTAACGACCATGAATCAGATATCTGTGTTCTGTAGCCATCAAATTAATCTAATTAACGATGTAAATCTTACCATAATTACATTCTTATTAACATGGCCCGGATTTTGATGACCTGAAAATATTTAAAAAATGACCGAAAATATCCAGAAAAATTACCTAAATTTTTTGTCATTTTTTCATTTTGGGGGTAATTTTTTTTACTTTTGAGGGCATTTCTTGTCATTTTTGGCCATTTTAGGGAATTTTTCTTCAAATGTTTTCTGAAATGTGAATAATATGGAAGCGAAGTGTTCTGTCTTCTCTCCTTTAGGTCATTTTTTCTGGATTTTTTCGGTCATTTTATAGGTCATTTTTAGATATTTTCAGGTCATCAAAATCCGGGCCCTGCATATTACATTTTTGGGTCATATTTTAGGTCATTTTTCTGGATTTTTTCGGTCATTTTATAGGTCATAATTTAAATATTTTCAGGTCATCAAAATCCGGGCCCTGGTGATCACTGACAAGTTCTGTTCGACAAGCAGAGCAAAAGGAAGACTGTGGATTTCCTGTTGCAGCGTCGTTTGCTTAGAAGAATCAACAGAATATAAATTTGCTGTAAATATGTAGGGAGGTTCGAATTGTGGCCTTAACATAGTGTAGGCTGATAGGTGGACACTAACGTTTCTGAGGAACATGCTGGTTCCATCTTCAGGGCGTAATCTCCGTGAAAACCTTTAACTATCATATTAATACAGGACCTAGGTTGCCATAAAGACAGCCTTACCCTGTGATGTGTTGAGTTTTCAGTCTTAAGATTTTTGTGGCAGTCTCAAAATAAATAACAATTGTTTTCTTCTGAACAATATTAATCGATTTGTTTTCATAAAGGAGATACAGAGTGTCTCGTGTGACCTAGAAACGGAATTTTTAGATATTACGAGACTCAACCTACCACTGAGTTCATGAGCGTAACATCAAAGAGTGAATTCTGAAGACCAATAATAGACGTAATAATGTTGCATCAGACTTCTGTACGATACATAGCCTACGTCTTAACACGTTAACAGAAATGGCACATTTTTAATGTGTATGTACTACAAGTTTACAGTAGCAAACAAACAAAAAACAAACTCCGTGGTTTTAGTCTGCAAGCGAACTATACCGACCGAGCGACCGCCGCTTGTCGGCGAAATTAGTGCCTACTTTAGCGGATAGGTGTCGCATGGTCAGCGCAACGAATCCCCAAGGCCGTTAATTTCGGTTTTCTAGACCGAATTTTACAGTAACGCTTTTTAAAATTTTATATTTATGACCACACACAAACAAGCGCCCGACTGGAGCCCGTCATGATCCGTCCACATGAGTACCGCTGCCTCCACCTCTCACGTGAACTAATTAGACCGGTTATACCTTCACCCGTATCGAACGTCCAGCCTTTTAAACCTGGAAAATGAAACGTGAATTTATTTGCACAAATTGTCAACTCTCATTATTATTCAATTTTCGTGGGCAAGCAACAGCAGCAGGAAGCGAAGACAGCGGTTGCGACAGCAAGCAAACCGCGGAATTGTGACGAGATTTCGTTGTGTGAGAGACCGTGAGAACCGGTAAAAGCAGACTGGTCTGCTTTTACCGGTTCTCACGGTCTCTTCGCTTGCAGATTTCTTATATTTTTTCTTCTACCCTGAAGATGGAGGCGATACGTTCCTCCGAAACGTCGGTTAACACCACATATACACGGTGCCAAATCCCAGAAGACTGTTTTCTTCATAGTCACCGCCGTGAAAGCCTCAAATCTTACAAATTTATTCTTAATTAAACCACCCTTTAAATATAATTCGAAGAGTAAATTTATAAATTACTTACCCATTACGTAATATTTCTTATTTAAATATGATTTCATCTTCTTGGATCCACATAGTAACTTTAACCGTTTGTTAAATAATCGATGATTAATTGGGTATTTTAACAAATTAACTTGACAACTATATAGTAATAAGAGTAAAATATTTAAGTGTACTCATAACAGCTCCCGGATCCGGTATAGCGCAGTCAATATAGCGACTGACTGGACGACCGAGGGGTAGGAGTTCGAGTCCAAGTAGGGTCAAGAATTTTCTCTTCTCCACGTCGTGCAGACCGGCTCTGGGCTCCACCCAACCTCCTATCCAATGAGTACCGAGTGCTCTTTCCCGGGGGTAAAGCGGCCGGGACGCGAAGCTGACCACTCATTATCAACTAGTGCCGAGATCAGGAAAATGTGGATTTATAGATCTACTTCCCCATACGCCTTCATGGCTTAATGCTTAATTAGTTAAGCACAGGGACAATTTTACCTTTACTTTTACCATAGCAGCTCCTGCCATAAGACATGGATCCCAAACAGAATCAGTGCAACGCGTTCTCTAAGATCATGTCTAATATTATCCTCCAATATCCTTCACAGTTTTCTGACTTGCCGCAAGTGTTTCTATTCTGAATTCTGTGTGCATTCCTTGTAATCATGTTGGGTGAGCTTTAGCCCTGCAGATCAAAGAGTTTTTCCTTTCTGATTAAAGAAGAAATCTATGGATCTGCTGAGGAGAAGTTTAAAGCACATTAGTAAAGCATTTCGCTGCCATTTTGTTGCGAGGACTGTCACGTTCTATTTCCCTCTCTCTGCGGTCTCTAGTGTTCTGGAAAATATTACCCACTTGTAGGGTAGCCAAGTAGGCTAT